AAAAAAAAAAAAAAAGAAACAAAATCTTGATCGTGCGTTTTGTAAACATTTCAATTCGATCGTTGAAATCTTCTTACAAAAAGTTGTTTAAAATATATAAAGAGTTCATTCCCATTGCTAATTTCAGCAAAAAAAAGCAGTTGTAATAATATTAATGATAATAATAATAATAATTTCGTTGATATCTTGTAAAATTTTAATAATAACATATTAAAAACGTTAATCGGTTTGCGAAAGAATTTTTCATTCGTAAAAAAAAATCTAAATACGAAAAAAGTTTATCATTATTATTATTATTATTATTATTATTATTATTATTATTATTATTATTATTAATACATTTTACATAAGTGTTTCACGTTACAATTATTTTTTCGAATTATTAAAAAAAAAATGTTTTTAAAAGAGGAATAAAATTTAAACGACTCGATATGTTATTATTATTATTACTGCGTGCGTGAGAGAGCGCGTGGATAAACGCAAATTATCGATGGTTTTAGAAGGAAGAAAAAATCGATTGATCGATCAATCGATCGATGAATCGATTTTTTTAAAAAGTGAAAAGTTAGGGTTTTAACAAGGAGTCGGTCGTATTGTGCGTTACGTTCGCATTATGTAGGTTAAAATTATTATTATTAGAAAGAATTGTTATAATAAATTGCGTGTAGTAGTAGTTTTTTTTAGAGCGAATTAAAAAAAATTATATAACGTGTATTTTTTTTGAATTGTATTAAACGAAACGTGAACATCATCATTCATTCCATTTTCAATTATTCTATTTAATTATACGGTAGGAAAAACTAGATCGCGATGGAAAAAGAAAAAAAAAAAAAAAACAACTGGAACGTTCCGATTCATAACAGCGAAAAAAAATTATTATTACTAATTTTTTATTTTTATTTTTTTTTTTAACTAGAAAGTTTCGTAAGACTTTACACACGCGCACGCACGCACAAAAACAACAACGATAATTATAATAATAATAATAGTAGTATTTGTATTAACAATGATAATAATAATTTTGTTTTTGTTTTTGTAAGCCCCTAACGCGAATTTATCATCGTTTTTATCGTTACTAACGTGGTCGTAGTCTTCGTCGTCATCGTCATCATCATCATCATCATCATCATCATCATCATCATCATCATCATCGTTTCGATTCTCGTTAAAGTTATTAATGATTACCTTATTTAAAAATTTTCACGTTGCGTCATCATCCAAGTTAATTACTTAACATTAGAAAAAGAAAAAAATTTTTTTTTTTTAAACGTGGTCGGTGTTTTCACAGTTTCGTTTGTTTTTGTTTTTCTTGTTGTTATTGTTATTGTTAATCGTTTCCGGAAAACGTTTTGAAAGAATGAAAAAAAATTGTTGTTATTATTATTTTAATACCGGAAAATTTCTTTTTTTTTATCTATCTAAGAAAACCCTCGATTCGCTTCTCGTATTGAAAATTTGATGCCAATTAAAAAATAAATTTTCTTTTTTTTTTTTCTCTCGAGTTTCTTCTTGCGATTTTTTTTTTTTTTATCATTATCATTATCGTTATTATTTTGTCGTTGTTGTTGTTGTTATTTTTGTACTAAAGTAAATAATAATTGGTCGTGAGAAATGACAAATAATTGAAATAATAAAGAGAGAGAGAGAGAGAGAGAAATTTTTAATTAGTTGAAAAAAAAAATGGGGGGGGGGGAGAAAAATTTGTGAATTATAACGAAAACGACATCATCTCTCTTTAAGTAAAAGGAAAAGTAAAATCTCGATGAGGTTTTTGTTTGTTTGTTTGTTTGTCGTGTGCTTTTTTTTCTTTGTCTCGTAAATATTAAATGTACATAAAATAATAATAATAATGCGAAATATGAAAAGGTTGCAAACAGGATAAGGGCAAATTTTTAAGTAGAGAGAGAGAGAGAGAAAAAGCAAATTTACGTCATCGTTTAAAAAATAAATAAAAGAAAAAATGGCGGATTTTTATTGTTTTTGATTTGATCGTCGGGGCAGAAGAATGTTTTTTGTATGTTAACGTTTGAAGAAATCTCGTTTGTTTAACAATTTTTTTTTTTTTTTTGAATTTGTAATTTAAATAAACGTGCAAGAAAATTAAAACAATTTAATTAAATAAAAATGCCGAATCGCGCAAAAAGAAAAAAGAAAAAATGAAAATCATAAAACGTGGAAAATGATGATAAACCGTTATCGAGACTCGATTTACGTTTTCTTGTTTTTTTTTTCTCTCTCTCTCTCTCTTTCTCTCTCTCTTGTCGTTACGGTTAAAATTAAACGTTAAACAAAGTTTTCACGTTTTCAAGTATAACGCACACGTGGAAAATATATATATTTAATAATAATAATAATAACGATGATGAAAATCTTTTTTTTTTTTTTTTTTTTTTTTTTTACGTTTAACCCCCCATCACAAATGAATTTTGGAAATTGTAAAGAAAAGAGAGGGAGGGGGGAAAACAACGCCCGTAGTGTATCATCCGTTTAAAAAATTCATTTTTTTTTCTAGCGTGTTCTTTAACCATTATTATTATTATTTTATAGTTGATGACGTCAAATCCTAAACGTATTATTTGATTAACTTCCGACGTCATTTTTTTTTTTTTTTTTTAGCAAAAAAAAAAAATGGGTAAAATGCTATTTAAGAGTTTTGAGTAATTAAAAAAAAATATTTAATCAATGATTACGTAAAAGGTCGAGCAAATATTGATAAGAGCAAAAGCAAAAAAAAAAGGAAAAACTTTATTTTCATAGCTTTTCTCTCTCTCTCTCTCTCTCTCTCTCTCTGTCTCTCTCTTTCTCTCTCTCTTTCTCTCTCTCTTTCTCTCTCTCTCTCTCTCTCTCTCTCTCTCTCTCTCTCTCTCTCTCTCTCTCTCTCTGTCTCTCTCTTTCGGTTCGGTTTTAATTGCAAAAATTATTTTCCGTTGAGTGTGCAGATGTGTGTGCGTGTGTGTGTGTGTACTAGCACCGTCAGGTGTTGACATTTAAAATTTTTAAAATAATTTTTTAATTCGTCGCGCCAAGTGTTTACAATACTTTTTTTTTTTTTTTAAAGCACTCGTTTTGCTTTTGATAATGATTTAATGACGATATTATTAAACAGTAGCAAAAGTGTAGTAATAGTAGGTGCTATAAAAAAAAATAAAAAAAAAATTCGGAGATTTTTGTGTGATTTTTTCAAAAAAAAAATGTTGGATGGCTCCAAAATAAAAAGTACCTGAATCGTAATACAAAAAAAAAAAATTTTTTGAAGATCATCTGGTTTGCTAATTTTTTTTCGTTTAAAGGGAAATGTTGTTGTAATGTAATAATAATGATAATTTAAATTTCGGACGTGATTTTGTTTTGTTGTTAAAGGTCAAAAATAATTCATCTCGATTTGTCAATCGCATAAATTTTACGTTTTTTTTTTTTTTTTTTTTTTTTTTGTAAAAAATTTCATTTGTGTCGGAACGATAATAAACCCCCCTCGCCCTCCCCCAAAAAAAAAAAATCCGTTTGAAAGGTGTCAAATAAAGATTAGATTTTAATAAAAATGGATTCGGATGTGAAAAAGTGAGAAATCGCACGTAAAAAATTAAATTAATTTGAAAACTTTAAAGAATCGTTAAAAACAAAAAAAAAAAAAAAACTTAAAACTAAGTTATTATTATTATTATTATTATTATTATTATTATTATTATTATTATTATTATTATTATTATTATTATTATTATTATTATTATTATTATTATTAATATCATTCCATAGCAGACGGAAATTAAATAAAATAAAAAAGAAAAAACGTTATTAATAAGCGACCCAATTATGAAAAAAATTTTTTTATTTATATTTAAAATTCATTTGTTTTCTCTTCGTGTAATGATAATAATAATATTACCGGTGGTACCGGCGAGACGACGACGACGACGGTTTTGTGACATTCTTATGACACGTTAATTGGTTTTTATGAAAATTTCCTTTTTTTTTTTTTTTTTACATTTCATCCGGTCATTTTAAACTATGTCAGGTCGAAATAATCTCTCTCTCTTTCTCTCTCTCTCTCTCTCTCTCTCTCTCTCTCTCTCTCTCTTTATTTTTATTTTTACCTTTTTTATCATTATTATTATTTTATTTTTTTCGTAATAATAATAATAATGTTAATAATTATTAGTCTTGTAATACGATGATGAATTATTATTATTATAATTAAATTTGATGTGACTCGGTGAAACGAACGCTTTCGTAACCCCAAGAAAGAAAAAAAGAAAGATTACTTGGGGGTGGGAGGAGGAAGGGGGGAGGGGAACGTTACTATAAATTATAATATAAATCAATATCAAAATCATTTTTCGATCGTAAATTTTTTGACGTCGTCGAATTCAATTAATGCTAACGATTATTCCACGATGATAAATGATAACATCGACGATGCTTTTATTATTATTATTATTATCAATTCAAATAATGAATTTAACATGCGTTAAGTGAAACGTTACCCCCCCAAAAAAAAAAAACAAAAAAAAACGTGTTTTTACGTATACGCGTAAATTATTCGGGGGGAAAATGATAAAACGTTTGTTATAATTTGTTTGCTTGTTTGTTTAATTATTATTATTATTATTATTATTATTATTATTATTATTATTATTATTATTATTATTATTATTATTATTTTCTACAAACGTTTGAGTACAAATTTGCCGCGTAAAATAAAAAAAAAAAAAAAATTTGATTTTTGTCTTTTTTGTCGCAAGAGAAGCACTTTTGAAAAAAATACAAAACAAAGCAAACAAACGACTTTATTTTTTTGAACCAAAAAAAAAAAAAATTATTATTATTATTATTATTATCATTATTATTATTTTATCGATGCAGAATTATTAGGTGAATAATGAATAAAAAATAAAAAAATGAAACGTTGAATTAGATATTTTAAAAAATAATAATAATCACGAACGAAAAGTGTTTAAAAAAAAAAAAAACAAAACAAAAGGAAAGAGTTATTTCGTACGAACATGTTTGATTTCGGACAAGATTCGATAGTGTATCAGGAAGCCATACCATACAATTGTGAAAAATACTTCAGCAGCAACAGAGAACGTTACGGATATGGAAGAGATTCGGAAAAATACGGATACGGTCGTGGTTCATGTTCTCCCGCGAGATCTTATAGCAACACGAGGTCCAGACGTAGATCGCCGGATAGTCCCTCTCGCATGAGACACAGATCGAGTTCGAGGAGTAAAAATTCGAACAGGGTGACGTTCGAACAAACATACTCTCATACTCATCGCGATTATTATTTACACGTTTATTATTCGAGGTAAGATTTGGTTTTTGATTTTTTTGTTTAAGTAAATATTTAACGGGCATTTGATTTTCCCTCTCTCTCTCTCTCTCTCTCTCTCTCTCTCTCTCTCTCTCTCACTCTCACGGTTGACTGGCAAAGACTAAAAAATGAAATAAACGTTTTTTTTTTTTTTTTTTCGTTCGATGAAAGTAATGAAAATTAATGGTGGAAAAAAAATGAAAAAAAAGAAAAAACAAGAAAGTGAAAATGTCAAGCAAGAGTTTCGTAAAACATATGAATAACTTGTTATCAAAAGTTTTAATTAACTAGGAAGAAGATATGAAATTATTATTATTATTATTATTAATATACGTGGGAGACATATTGCATGAGAGAGTAAAAATTAATAAATAAAATGAAGACCTTGAAAAACAAGATCTCTCGTTAGTTAGTGTTGGTGAAAAAAAGAAGAAAAAAAATTATTTTGGAAAGTGAAGATGCGTCGTTGTACAGTTGTTGTTGTTGTTGTTGTTGTTTGTTGTGCAAGGAAGAAAAAGTTAATGAAAACGATTTAAAAAAAAAAAAAAAAAACAACAAAAAAAAAATTAAAAATCGATGAACAAAGTCATTAAAAAAAAAAAAGAAAAAAAATTTGCTAAGCGGGGATCACGATCTCTTACAAATAAAAGAAAAAAAAATAACAAAAAACAAAAATATGTTTTCAAATTACCTAACATAATTAATGTTTTCGAGTGAAATTGGCATGGTGGCAAATGACCGTAAATGTGAGCAAGTTTTACGTTAACGGTCCACGAAAAAACATAACCGGAAGAATTGAATGAAAAAAAAAAAAAAAGAGAAAGCACTTAATATTTATTTATAGATAATACGTAAATTGAATAAAAGATTATTATTATTATTATTATTATTATTATTATGGTGATGATGATGATAGTAATTGAATAAACCGGTTAATATCGATTGGTAATATCGAAACAATAAGTCGAAAGCCAACAACGAGTTGTTGTTGTTGTTGTTGTTAGGTGTTGTAAGAGTATTTATAAAATATGTAATCAAAGTTTAAATTGTGTCCGTCATGATTTTACGTACACAATATTATCACTTACTTCACGGTCACATTCCAATGATCGGAAATGTAGAAACGAAAAAGAGAGAGAGAGAGAAAGAAAAATGGAAAGTAAATAATAATAATAATAATGGAAATGACAGAGAAAACGAAAATTCACAGAGTCTGACAAAAAGTAAACGTGAAGTCAATCTCTCTCTCTCTTTCTCTCTCACTCTTTATGACGGGTATCTAAAAGCATCGAACTACTTATCGAATAATAATAATAATAAATATTACTCTGTGGAATAATGAAAAGTGTCACGGTCTAATTGTTTTAATGTCGCTGGAGAAAAAAAAAATGGCGGCGGCGGCGAAGGTAAAGACGGAGTCGCAAACGAGAGCACAAGTGACCCGGGGTCAAATCAGGATGTCGTTGAAAAAAAAAAAAAAATGGGGCCACGAAATTAAAAAATTATTTCAACGGTGTCGTTATAATTGTTGTTGTTGTTGTTGTTATTGTTATGTTTTCATCGTCTGCTACTTGCCATTTTCCGGTTTTTACTTTTTTTTTTTTCTTCCTTCCGTTAAATTTAATTAAAAACGTTGCTCAAAGCGTCGGATAATATGACTTTATTGGTAATTATCGGTTGCCGGTTTGACCAGGAAGGTGAAATTAAAAAAAACCCATCATAATAATAATAATGATGATGAAAAAATGAAACGAAATGAAAGCGGAAGATCAAAGTGGAAAAAGAAAAAAGGGGGTAACACAGAAAGTTGACCCTCGGAAAACATCATTTATATATTAAAAAGGAGAAAATGAGAGGGAAGAGAGAGAGAGAGAGAGAGGGGGGAGGAAAGGAAAGGGTGTAATCACGGTTTAGAAATTTAAGTTAAATTTTTTTTTAAAAGTAAAATGAAAATCGTGGCGGAAGAATCAGAGTGTATTAATTAATGAATTCGAACTCGTGGCAATCAACGTGCGTGTAATTAAGTTGATCGTGAAATTATATTTTTATTTTTAAACTTATTGTTTTTCCTTTGATTTTCTCTCTCTCTCTCTCTCTCTCTCTCTCTCTTTCTCCCTCTCTCTGACTCTGTCTATCTATCCGGAGGCGTCAGATACAAACGACAAAATTTTTAATTGCGAATAAAAACAAACACGATATAAGGAGCGTATAAAATATTTCGAAATATTTAATTTGACTTCCTTTTTAAAAAAAAAAAAAAAAAAAAAACTTTCTACCTTTTCATCATCATCATCATCAAAAGGAAAAAAAAAAAAAAATCAAAAGAAGTTTTATTTACTTACGTAGTAGGAAGTTTTTTAATTTTTTATTACTTCACTTATCATTATCATCAATTTTTTCATTTTTTTTTTTTTTCACATGTGTGAGAACTTATGTTAACGCCTGTTTATTACCGTAATTTTTTTTTAAAAAAATATTTGATTAATGTATTTGTGTGTGCGCGTGCGCGTGGCATTGTAACATCTCCAGGCTGGAAAATCCATTGTTTTCATTGTTACTCTAAAAACGCTTATCATTATTATTTCTTTTTGGTCACGTGTTTTTTTTTTTTTTTTTAAAATTGCGTTTTGGGTAAATTTTTAAATTTTTCCAGAATACAACCGAGCGCGTGCACGTGCCAAAAAAAAAAAAAAAATCGAAAAAATGACTTCCGTGATTTTTTTTTCCCCACGACGGAATACGCAAAATTTTATTATTATTATTATTATTATTATTATAGTCATCATTATTATTGTTATTATTTTATTAGTTTTTAACCTCCCGTAGAGCTTTGCTTGATTATTCATTATAATTTTTTTTTTTTTTTTTTCGAAACTAATAATTAAAAGAACAAATAAAATAAATAAATTATGTACATAGTTTTAGAGGTCACCGTAAATTTCCACAGAGTCTGAACAAAAAAAAAAAAAAAATGAGGAGTTTATCAAATAAGAAAAGCGATGATAAGGCGTGAAAAATTTAATTTTTTCAATTATGTATAAACATTTAAAAAAAAAAATTATTAAATGTTATTAAAATGTATGACATTTATAAAAAATTATTATCATTATTATTATTATTATTATTATTATTATTATTATTATTATTAATGTATTTTTTTATTTTCTGTTACGTTTTTTTTATTGATTTTTCAAACAAACGATTTGACTCTGATCGATTCGTGACGTAATCATTTTACAACGTCATTAAAATTTTATGATGATGATTTTTTTTTTTTTTTTTTTACACTTTACCTTAGAAATAATCATTATTAATAATCGTGAATATGTTATTGATAATGATAAAATATTATCATCATTGTTGTTGTTGTTGTTGTTGTTGTTGTTGTTGTTGTTATGGTTGTTGTTGTTGTTGTCGTTGTTGTCGTTGTTGTGGTTATTTGCGAGTTTGTCTGATTTTAATAATTTGTTTAAAAACCCTTTTTTTTTAAATTTTGTTTACATCCTTTAAAAAAAAAAAAGTTTTTAATTTTTATTAAGCGAGTTTCGAAATGAAAAGTTTTTTCCTTTTCCCCCCGGGTTAAATAATTTCGTAACCGTTTTTTTTTCGCAACGACAACCACAACAACAACAACAACAACCGTCGCCTTGAAAATAGATTTTTTTTTTTTTTTTATCAGAAAGCGAGGTAAATAAATAAATAAAACGTAGGAAAATTTTTTTTTCTTTTTTTATTTATTTATTCTAATCGTTTTTCGGGTTTCAGGTTTAAATAATAATAATAATAATTATTATTATTATTATTATTATTATTCGTTTTATTTGAGTTTCTACGACTTTAGCAGAGCATTTAAAGAAGAGATTTTTGTATTGGGAGTTTAGAAACGATTGAATTTTTTTGAAAAGAGAGAGAGAGGGGGGGAAAGAAATTATTATAAAATTGAAAGGATTGATCGATTACACGTACGCACACACGCGCGCACATACACACAGAAAAAATGAATTATTAATGATAATTATTCTGGTATAAATTAACAGAAAATGGTCAAAGTGAAATGACTCGAGGGAAAGTGAACAACAACAACAACACTTTGAGGCACCTGTTTTCAAATGAAAAAACAAACAACAACAACAACTACAAAACCTTGATTGCGAAATATAAATTTAATATTTTTTAAATCTTAACTTTTTTTTACAAAAAAATCTTATCACGTGCTTTACGTAGGTTTCTAAAGAAGAGAAAGAGATAGAAAAAAAAAGAACAGTTTTATTTTTATTTTTAAATTTATTCATTATAATTTTGTATTTTGTGTGTGTGTGCGTGTGTGTGTGTATACAATCTTGTTTAACGCCAAAATACGAAAAAAGTGAATAATTTAAAAGTGGTAAATTATTTTTGGAATTGCTTTTTATAATTTTTTTTTTTTTAAAAAAAGAATTCGCTCGAAATTTTGTTTGTCGAAATGTAATGCGTTCAACGAACTCGAAATGGTTGTGTTATTAAACGAATTTAATTTTTTAGAAAAAAGAAAAAACAAATCCGAGCGTGTAAAAAAAAAAAAAAAAAAAAAACTGGAAAAAAAATCCGGGTATGCAATTTGCTTTACATCCGCGTAAAGTAAATTGTACGAGTTTGAAATTGTAGGCGTTTTTTTTTTTTTTTTTGAAAATTTAATCGCATACGGATTAAGCTGGAAATGCAAAGTTTTGTGTCTGCGTGCGTGCGTGCGTGCGTGCGTGCGTGCGTGCGTGCGTGCGTGCGTGCGTGTGTATTCATCGTATTATGTTTTTGACAATTTCGGCCGTTAACATTAAATCATAAAATTGTTAATATTTCGGTTGGAATTAAACTTGCTTGTAATTTATAGCTCGAGTTTTTTATTATTATTATTATTATATCTGCATACAGCATGAAATAAATTATTCGACTTTAAAAAGTAAATGCGAAACACATCGTATGTAAAAAAACGTTACGCACTTCAACATTACAAAAAAAAAATTTTCCCCGCTGGATTTGGAATTTAAAAAAAAAAACCAAAATGAAAATTT